TAAAGAATTGTAAAATGAAACTTCTTGTTTCACATTATCATTTGTACGTCGTATCAGTGGTTTTTCTGTCATTATATTTTATAATAATAATATCAACTTACTTTACTTCAAATATAGTTTAGTCTTGCAATGAAGTGTATATATATATATGATTCTATGATTTGAAAAAAAACTATGTAAATTATCGTACGATCTTCTAGTGATATGGATAAATGGCGTGGTCGTCTTCAGTTGAATGGCGTGATTTTGTGCACTTCTTCTTATTGAGATACGGGTACAAATTCGTTAGATGTCGCTCAAATCAAGACAGAACAAACAGTTGAATGCGACTCATAAGCAGGAGAATGCTTAGCAACAGTTTGAACACAAAATGGTAAAACTTGCATCAAAAAAAAAGAAAAAATGAATCACATTGTACACCGCAACGTAAAAAAATCTAATATTGTTGTACACTTTTTAAATTTATATTTCGAATTATTCATAGATTTACACCGGCGTATGAATCATATTCATTAATGTTTATATTTTTTTTTAATTCAGAGAAAAAAAGAATAATTAAAGAGTAGTATGAATATAGAAATTCGTTTGGTAAATAAAATAATGTTCTTTTCTTCTTTCGACATATTGATTTGAATTCTTTTCTAAGTACACATACATGATCACTAGAGTAGACTCGCTCAACTTTTTTCGGAGATGAAATATTTTCATCATCGTTTTAGATAAACAATGATGAAAATAAAGACATACGTATGTATAAAATAAGACATAATCTTGTACAACTTATACCCACTAACAAAGAAATTTCATGTTGTTCTGATAAAATAACATTATTGAAATTGATATTAGAGAAAACCCCAAAATGTATATAATAAGATAAGCCATCATCAGTTTTCTTTTCGTTAAAAGTTCATTTTGGACTGAAATTGAAAAGAAAAACAGAAGAATGAACGATATGATGATTAAAATTTTGTTAGTTATATAATTGATACATTCTCTATATTTTAACTACACGTTTACATGTACCTTAGTACAGAGATTATAGATGATTTCATCCTATTTTGTAACAACATCCGATTCTATTGTAAATTTTTTTTTTTTTCTATTATAATATTTTATTCTCACGTAATACAATCTTCTAAAAAAAATGAAGAAGCATAATTGAATCAGATTTCACCAACTAAATCTCATCGATTTCTTCCTTAATCTTTATTCATAGATTGATGTATGTTAGTTGACAAGTAATCTCTTCGATTTTTCTCTTAACATGAATATATCGTATGTTTTTTATTTTCATTTTTATAATAGACTTATTTTTGATCAATATTCCATATCATTTACTTATAGGAGTATATAAACTTACACAAAATTTTCTTTTCATTTTCATTTTGTTTATATTAAGAGAGAGAGAGAGAGAGAGAGAGAGAGAGAAAAAATGCTAAAAAAGAAAACTTTCAAACAATCGATCCGATGAAAAATTTACATCAAGGTCATTCAATGATCATTAATCTATATGTATCAATTAATTTTGTAAAGTAAAATTTAATAAATTATTTTTTTGTATACTCATATGTTGTTTTTAAAAATAGTCTTGTTAGATTTAAATATGTTGAGTTTCTTATTTATTTTTTTTTTCATGAAATATGAAAGAACAGAAGAGTGAATGAATACTGTGATTTATTTAGATTGATAAAATCTTATGAAAAAAAAATTTTTTTTTCTATTGGTATGATCGAAAATTACAATGAAACTAATATTTTTATTGTATTATTTAATCGTTCATATAACGATTATTTATGGTAAAACAAAATAATAAAATTTTGTTCACTAAAAATAATGATTTTTTTTTCATTTCAGCTTCAAATCAATATTTGGGTTGTTTTATTGATCAAATTGGTAATCGTGATCTAAATTTATTTATTGGTGATTATGAAAGATTAACTCCAAAACAATGTATTCTTATATGTCAAGAACGAAATTTTCCCTATGCAGGTATACAACATGGTAATGAATGTCGTTGTGGTCGACAATATGGAAAACATGGTCAAGTATCCGATGATGAATGTATTTACAATTGTTCAACATTAGAAAAATGTGGTGGCCATTATCGAAATAGTATTTATAATACATTTAATTCAATAGATTCAATTAGTACAGGTTTTTGTTTACTTAGCTTGTGTTTTAAGAAAACAAAAAAAAATGAAAGAAAGAACGACAATTGTTTGATTTAGGGTATACTTGTCAAAATAATTTAATTGGTTATCAAGGATGTTTTGATAGTATAACATTGAATATAGGAATGGATATTGTATATTCAATTGAACAATGTATTCAACGTTGTTCTATAAAATATGCTTATGCAGGGATTATGAATGGGTAAATAAAATTTTATTATTATTCTTTTGTTGAAGGTTTTTGTTTTTTCGTTGTTAGTAATTTATGTCATTGTGGAAATGATTTAAATCAACCATCATTAAATTCAAATTTATGTCATATTCGATGTAATAAAAGCTCAAATGATATGGCTATTGATTGTTGTGGTGGTCTTCATATGCTTAGTGTTTACAATATAAAAATTTATCGTTAGTAAAAAATATATATAAAATTGATTAATTTTAATTATTATTGTTTTTTTTTAAAGAATCTTCAATAGGGAAAGACCTATCCGAGAAAATGATTCGAGGTGAGAAAATATTTGTTTTAATTTATGTAGTATCTAATGTTGATGTAGATAGTTTATAGTTTTAATAAAAGTTTTTCTACTTATTAAAATCTTTAGTAAAAAGAGCTGATGGTAAGATTGTTGTTATAACTTTTGAATGTTGGATATTGCTCTTATGTATTTCATAATAATGCTTATTGTTATGTATAAGTCGTGTATCCTCAATCAAATGACTTTTGTTTTGTGTTCATTTGTAATAGCACATAATAATTCATCATATATATTTTGTGTCTATTATATTTTTATATATACTTTGTTATGCTAACATCTTTGCAATATTACATCTAACAGACATATTTGATTAATAATAATTATAATGGATATGATATGACATAATACTCATATTTACAGATTATTTCCTCTTTGATTTTAGTAGTAAATGAAAGTACCTACTCTTCATTGCAAACAACTGCTGCAAGTTCGACATTACCTAGTATAACTTCAATATCATTATACACTGTATCAGTAACAGCAATTACATCACAATCATCAATAACAACAAGTTCTTCTTTACTAATATCATCTTTATTGAATTCTGCAATTACAAATAGTTCAAGTACATATACTAGTCAGCCAATTTCATTTACTCCTAGTAGTATGAATAATATATATACATCAATATCTTCATCATTAATGATGTCAAATGTGACATCTACTATACCTATATTATCAACAAACACTGTAACAACACTAATAACGACTTCTCACGTGAATACAAGCACATCAACGTTGGTAGTTATCAATACAATTTCTAATATGTCACAGTCCTCTACTAATCCTATAAATACCGCTATGAGGTCATCTGAAAGTAATTCCATATCATCAGTCCAATCAAATATTGGTACTGTAGTATCAACTTCATCTGTTACACGAGCAAATCAAACATCTTCGTATACAGATACTACCATTTCACCTACTCCCCTCAGTTCTATTTCATTCAATAGCTCAATAACAAACACTACGATTAATCTGTCAACAGCATCCCAATTGATATCGACGATATCTATTCCATTATCTCAAACATCAACAATTCCTATCTCATTAAATTCTACTCCTTCAAGCACTGTAGTATCTAGTAGTTCATCAAATTTTACTTCAATAATGACTACTGAATCTCTCAGTACTTCACCATTAATATCAACACAATCTAGCCAAATCACAATGATGACTGTATCACAACAAAATAATTCAGAAGCATCGATTTCGAACGCTTCAATCTTATTTACTAATTCACTTGCGAGTAGTTCTACAAATGTAGGAATACAAACAACTATTAATTCTTCCTTACATACAGGTAACAAAAAATAGTATATATATATATAATATAGTTTTCACTGTCTAGAAATATAGAATATTGCATATCTTCTTTTTTCCTTTCTATTATAATTTTTCAATATTTCTTAGATGTAACAACTCAAATAACACTTTCGACAGAATCAACAGTTACAAGTACTGTAATGATTACAAGTGCTAGTAACTTATCTACAATAACAACAGCAAGTCAAACAGTTAATTCAACATTGAGTACAACAACTATTTCTACTTCACGAAGAACAACAATAGCTGCATCATCTTCAATTTCTACAAGTTGGTTCATATTATTAATGAATGATAAAAGAAAGTTTTTTTTTTCTTATTTATTTTAGTTATTATCGTTCCATTTAATCAAAATTTTACTCCAACTGATAACAATACTCAACAATCGATACGTCAAGGATTAATTCGTGTAATAAATTTTGGTTTCAATTGTCGAGCTAATTCATCTTATCCAAATTGTACACAATCTAGACTACGTGTTAAACGTCAAATATGTTCAAATGGTTATGATGTTAATTTACTTTCAGATATAACTGAAGTAAATAGAATTCAATAAAAATACTTTTTATTTTATATTCTATGTTTTTTTTTTCTTTCTTCTAAATATTAATTTAGATTTCTAATAGTACTTCAAGAAAATATATGGTAGATTATTCTGTTATTGATTTATGCAATTCAGGTATTCTATTGTCACCTATTCAAGTTAAAATAGCTACAGATGCATTATCACGTGAACAAATCATAAATACACTTGGTTATGATATTGATGGTGCATTAATAAGAAGTACAACTATTGATAGTAGACAAACTCAAGAAACCGATCGTAAATTATGGCTTATTGGTGCTACACTTGGACCAGTTGCTTTTGTTTTATTATTGATTTTTGTATTTTGTTATCTTCATTATAAATGTCGACCACGACCAACAAATCGACCTTTAGCTAAAGTATATCGAACAATGGATTTTTAATAAATTATCATAATTTTCTTTTTCGTTTCTAGCCTGTTTATAGTGTACCACCAGTATCAGCTCGATCAACGGTACGTTATTTAGGAAAATTAATTCGCAACAAACTTGTCGATGAGCATTGAATTTTGTTAAACTTGTTTCTATCAAAATTAACATTTTCATTTTCAATTCATGAAAATGATTAATTTTGTTTACTAATATTCTCATTATAAATCACATCAAAAAAATGTAAACTAAAAACATATTTTTATGAGCGAATCCATACGTTTTTGATCTTGGCTCCGTTCTAAGACAATAACTATAAACGTAAAGACCTCGGTTTGTTTAGTTTTCAGTTTCGATTTGTACCTATAAGATTAGAATTAAAACTGGTCATACATTGTACTGATCATATATTAAAAACTAATATATATATATATATATTTGTAAATAGAATTATAAAACTATTTCAAATGAATCAATAACAGAAAAACCAACATCTGAAAAAACGATTCATGCATTAACTCAAAATGATCCATTAGTTGGTGCTAGTGCATCATCACGACGATTAACACCTAGTGAATCTGAAAAAAGTTCAACTCATACACCTCGTCATCCAGTTTCAGTTGAAATACCATTGGATGAAATACGTCATCAAAATGATGTTGAACGTTGGAGAAATAAAATTCGTTTACAAGAAAAATTTCAAGTATATTTTACTAAAAGTTCTTTAAATAAAATTTTTTACAAAAAAAAAATTATATATTTTCTTTAGCAATCTCCTGTTAAACTTCCAGATTCATCTGTACCAAGTAAGTTTTTTTTATTAAGAAAATAAATTCATATCAATATTAGAAAGATAAGATAATAAAGAACATGTTTCAATATCTTTCAACGCACACATATCTATATAACATGAAAAACGAAATAATTTATCTCTAGGTCAAAATTCTTTTATTAGAAATCTATAAATAGTTTCACCTGTTATATCAATAAAATCTTTTGATTGAATTGGCCAGGTAGGAGAAAATCTTCTTCATTAATATGAAAAATTTTTTATTTAATATTTGTATTAGTATATATAAATATGTTTGAATTTTTGATTCTACATTAACAATAATATACTGTTAGAGAACTTGTGACTAATGAATGAATAAGAATTAATGATGTATCAATATTTTTTTTTTCTTCTTGAAAATTTTTAAGAATTTTGAATATCTAAACGACTAAGACATGTTGGTATGTTACTAGTATTACCACCATTATATATCATCCAATCGAGGAAAATGATTAACTTGAGCTATATAATCAAGAAAAGCAGTACTAAATATGAGTATAGAAGTCATTTTTTAAATCTATCATACAAAAGTTAATTTCTAACTTGTTGCATCTAATTAGTGATGTAACCAGACTTTCGAAGATATGAACAGATTATCTAGTCGAACTCGTAGAAAAATATAGTTCGTCCATAGAAATAAATCAACTAGACTACATCAATAGATTCATTTAGAGAATTTGATATATTCAAAATTTAAATATTCGAACATTTGTCTATGGAGAGAAAGAAAAAAAAGCATTTTTTTCTGCTATTCTAAATCGAAATGAGAAAAATTTATTTATTTATTTTGTTTTAGATACTAATCGTTCAAGTTCAAGTCAATATGATAATCAAGCTTTTGAACATAATATTCCAAGAATTAATATTCAACCAGTAGATGATATTGTCTCTATTCATTCACCTCGTCATATGCCAGGAACAACTGAAACTGTAGTTGAACGTACAAAATTACATCGTTTATTAGATGAAGTTCTTGATAAAGCTGAAAGTGAACAATCTTATAATCCAGATTCTGAAAGTGAACGTCAAAAACGTCGTCGTCAACGACGTCGTATACATTCCGTATCTGATGATCATAAAATTTTACCTTTATATGATAAAAATCAAGAAATTCCTCATATACCTGTTATACCTCAATTATCTGAACGTCCTGATTCATCTATTGTTCGTCTTCATTATAATCCTTATGAAGCAGGTGATCGTGCACATGATATAGCACGTTTAACACCTGTTGAATTAAAACCAAAATATACAATAGATGATCAACAAAATAATCAATATTCATCACGTTCAAATCCTCCATTATTTTTTGATGATTCTATGATAGCTGATCGTGCATCAACAGCAACAAATGCATATGCAAATCCAAAACGTTTAGCTAAAACTCGTATTGAAACTGATCGTGAAGCAATGATGCGTCATGATAATGGTCAAATAGATCGACGACAAGAAAAATTTAATGATGATCCAACTTATATTGATAGAATATCAAAAGATCGAGATGGATATCGAGTACAAGCACGTAATGCTTGGGTAGAATATAAAACAAACAATGATCCATTAAGAAGAAATGATTATCGAGATGAATTTATAACAGCAAAACAAAGTGTTTTAAATACAAAAAATATTATATCATCAATACATGATGAATTACAACATATGTCTTCTCGATCATCAGAAAATTATCATGCCTAAAATAATGATTTATTAAAATGCCGTAAAACCTTTATATATATATGTATTAGAATTTCATGCTTTTGTTTTCTGCTTGCTTGTATTGATCTGTGTTTTTCTTTTTTTTTGGGTATGAATTTTTATTTTTTATTGTTAAAATCAATAAATAGTGCTGTTCTTTTTAGAAATGTTCATTTCAAATTCATTATTGATTAGAATTTATTTATGAGTCTGTTTAAAGATAATTTTATAGAAATTTGAAAATTTACAATAATATCTTTTTAATAATTATTATGATTTTGAGATCTTATTATAGAACAAGTAACGCTCGTCTGTGTGACTCGCTTGACCCTCGACTGCATATTCGGCCCTTTCCATTTTTTCTTCCGATCTATAGTCTTCAACACAGCTAGTATCCGATGTTCCAAAAGGGTGGGTAGGTATGCGTACGCTGACATTAACGTCAATCTCTTTGTGCATAATTGTATGCGAGCCCGGATGAACATTTTGTCAAAAATATATCCAATGAAATTGATACCCTCACATTGACACTCAACAATAAATCTAAGGAACCACACACCCACACCCGATATCCATATATACCCAAAACAGGAGCTTATATTCAGCTTTCTGAGAGGTAATGAAGCAAAGCTCATTCGCGACACTTTCTTGATAACGCGCCATACCCCTTAATATTTCTACTAAAAATCCGTTCGCTTGCTGACACATCTGCCGACATTATTGTTTACTAGAGCGTCCGCTAGCAAAATAGGGCTTACTTGAACTTCTAGCTTACAATTAATCATGTTAGGTCTGGTCTATAATCGAACTGCCACACTTGAAAGAAGCTCCTACTCATATTAGCCATCAGACTAGATGGATAATTTCAAGATATTCATATACATTTCGACATTTGAATCAGTATCAACAAGAAAGCATCCCACCAAGGAAACCCACGTTTATTTCATTCAAATAGCATTCCGATAGAACGAATATAAATTCTATAAATAATGTTTTCCCTCAAATGTATTATTCAAATATCGCACACGTGCAGAAAAGGCGTTCTCACACTTCATTTCAAAATATTTCTCAGTTCTTAGCAACTGCTACTCCTTATTCAAACCCGTAT